ATCGTTTCGATTCGTGAGAAAAAGAAAAAAAAAATCGCGTCAACACGGTCGACGCATTTTTGGTCGACGACGTTCGTTCGATGGATTATTATCGACAATTCTCGATCCCCGTGTCGTGTCTCGATCGTGGAACGCGAGAGCTGTTTGTTTAGCGTCTGGACACGCGACGCCGGGTAACGACGCGTTTTTCCTCGCTTCGTCAAAACGAAAGCGCGCGAAGTAAAAAGAAAAAAAAAAAAAAAAAAATACGAACGTACGAGGAAGCGAGGAGGAGGAGTCGGGAGGAGGAGAAAGAAACGAGAGAGGAGTGTGTGTGTGTGATCGTATCTTGTTGGGAAACGAACGAAACTGTATAAACGGGAGGGAAGAGGAGAAAAAAAAAAAGAAAGAAAAGATGGATTCGAGTTTTAGCGTTGAACTCGCGGCGAATTTCTTTCGTTCGTTCTCTCATCGGAGAGGCACAACTCGTCTCTCTCGTCTCTGAAAATTATGTTAACCGCGACACACCGCTGCCAGTTTTTTGCTACGGACTACTGTCACTGCGTCGATGGTTAAGAAGGAGAAGAGGAAAGAGGAGGAAGAAGGAGAAAAAGGAGAAAAGAGGTTAAGAGAAAAAGAGAAAAAGAAACCAAAAAAAAAACGAACAAAAAAGAGAGACAATGAAGGTGAATGATTTGAGAACAAAGAAATTATTTAACAAAGTGTGAAAGGAATAAAAACGACAATTTTGTGATTCCCCGAAAGGAAAGAAACCGAGATAAAAGTAAAATAAAATAAAGTAAAGAAAAAATGCATGTATAGACGAAAGGAGAGAGTGAATTTGTACGCACTGGTGCTTTGTACGATTTTAAGAAGCTTTTAGCGCGTCGTCGAATTAACAATAACGATAAATGATTATGATGATGGCGATGATGATGACGATTCGGTTTTCGATTTAACCAGGTTTCGTTTCTCTTTTGCGCTCGAGTCACGGTTATCGATGAAAATCTATCGATACACAGGCCACGCACCCGTCTCTATCAGCCGCCACAACCAACCCACCCACCCTCTCCCTCCCACTTCTCGAGCTTTCACCAAATAGCTCGAATCGAATTAAACGCGAGATAATAATAATCGCGACGAAATTTCGTCTGTTCCTTCTACGCGAAGCATAACGAAGATTAAGAAAAAAGAAAGAAAAAAAAGAGAAACCATATTGGATCGTTGCGATTTCGATTAGTTGAACGCGTAACGAAATGTCGATCGATAGATCGATCGAACGCGAGCAATCATGGCGGCCAGACGGTGATTCCCCGCGTGCGCGCGCAAGAAAAGCCCGCAATAAACTCGCAGTCAGCCACGGCGTGCACACACGCCGGTTTCACGCGTATTTCGTTGTACGCGTTCTCAAAACTTCGCCGTTCTATTTTCGTTAATGTGAAACGCAGATTTTCCGGCTCCCAATCTCTCTCTCTCTCTCTCTTTCTCTGATTTTGGTCGCGTAATCGGTCGAGCGTCACCCAATGTGCTTCGCGTCTCTTGTTTTTTCTACCCTCTCTAATTAATCTTCGTTCGACGGTACAATCTTTCTCTACCGGATTATTTTCTCAATCGGTCTTTCCCCCGTTTCTTTCGTTAACACTTCTCTCTCTCGGGCCTTCCCCCATCTCTCCACCACGTTTCTTCCCCCAAGTCTTCCTTCCGATTCTCGTTTCGTGCCGGCGGCGTCACACAGAGGGGCCAACCGCGAGGCTCGTTTATTTATAAGCAAAAAGTGGAGCGGCCAGAGAGAAGGAGAGAGAGCGAGAGGGGGGAGAGAGAGGGAGGGAGAGAATGGCTCTCATTGAGTCCGTGATGACGATTCGCCGAATTGAACGAAACTGCTCTACGCGCCTCGCAACCACGTTCGACCAGAGAAATCTCTCTCTAGAGAGCCTGTATCGGTGAAGTCCAGAAGGAAGGGGAGGAGGTATCGAAGGGTCGGAAGAAGCAGAGAAAGAGAAGAAAATGGAAACGAGAGAGGAAGAGTTCAACTTGTGTTCGTGTATATATACAATACTTATGTAAAACCCTAGTCTCTTTATAAGGAAAAGAAAACAAAACAAAACGGGAGAGCGGAAGAAAAGAAATAGGAAGAAGACGAGGGAAGAAGGAAAGGAGAGGGAAATGAGGGATGAGAAATGGAAAAATATATATATGGAGAGAGGCAAAACGACTCGAGAGCAGTAGAGTAATAGCAGTATTCTCGGACGGAACCTTCGTTGAGCATTGTTGCGTTTAAGAGTACACATGCGCGCCACGGTGTATTATAACACATATACACGTACACGTTTACATTTAGACACACTTGCATATACATACACCTCTCTCTCTCTCTGTCTCTCTCTGTGTACATTCTCTATGTTTTATAAAAAAAAACGAAAAAAAAAAAGAATTGAAAGAAGCGAAGGAACGTATAATACGCTGTGCGTGTCCTAACATCGCGAATATGCGACGATTAACAGAGAAGATTCTATATTTACTGTTTATAATGTCCAGCGAAATTAAACGAGCAATTACCGATTAACCGTGTCTGATGTCACAGACCATCATAGATTCACTATTTACTTATTCTTTTCTTCTCACCACGATAGCCTCTGTTTCTTCTGGTTTCCGGGTGTTCGAAAAGGATCTGCTCCCTGCAGCTGACGATCTTCGATAGTTTCTATTGTACAGACGACGATGACGATTTCATTTGGGCTCGGTATAGCTACGATTCGAAAGATAAGTGTACATAAGGGACGTTTGAAGAAAGATGCACGACTCTGTTAACGAAGAGGACGAGGTATGTTCGGTAAAAGTATAGCGCGGTTGTAAAAATAGCGATCGAGTCAAGTCAGGGGCACACCTTGTGGTTTGTATCGTGGGTATTTTTACGCGCAATTGATGAATGGACCTCGAACAGGCATACAGCGAGAGAAACTTCTTTTTTTTTTCCAAGTTAGACAAATTATCAATTAACTGAAATTACAATATTCCGGATTGAAACTCTTGAAACTTTCGATTAACCTGTATATAAAAATTTGTCGATAGCTAAATTCGACGAGTACTTTCTTTACATACTGACTGTCAGAATGAACGTTGAAAAAAATTGACGAAAATCAAGAAGAAATTTAGGTTTCGTTTCGTTCATTTTACCTTAACAGATCTTCGAAAGATCTACAAATGTGCAATCACTGTACCCGAATTCTATCGATATTCGAGAAAATCAGCTGCAAAGGGAGACTTAATATTACCGAAGCTCACACACCCGGAAGCCGGTACTATTGGTAGAAATGGCGAAAGCGAAGCTAAAATGGAACCCCGTTGAACCGAGAACCACGACTTTATTTTGCCCATCGGCGGAAAGACGCGAGCGGGAAACGTCGTGGTCGCATGGTCGAGTGCCAAGTCGTGATATAATTGACGGAATCTGCTCGCTCCATCACCGTGCTCTCCTCTTCTCACGCGCGACATCGCCGCGTGGAACGATACGGTAGAGTCTGTTTTCTTCGTCGAATTATCATCCCTCTCGCTTTCCGTCGTGAATTCGTGATATTCCGCCGTGCGAAAAAAAAGCAAAAAAAAACAACTCGTTATTTTAGGAATCGTGAATTTGCAAAAGAGTGTGTGTCCATAAAAAGAAAAGAAAAAAATGAATTCGTTCTTCCGGTTGTCGTGTTCGTGAACGTATACTCTACGCTTCCGGTCGCCATCGACGTCCGGCGAACACCGGATTATGGTTCGAGAAGAGTTTTGGTCGCGTTCGTCGCGCGATAGATCGTCTCAGTGTTCCGTTCGATGAAAAACGCGTTCTCTTCGTTATTCGCTGCGTTTCGTTCGGTTCGTTAGGGTCTGTCGGGTGGTTCTGTTGGAATCTCAAGTTCGTCACTGCTGATTCCGCTTCTAAGTTGTATCGCTCGATCGGCGATCAACATATGGTACAACCAAAGACGTGTTTAATGGATGAAGAGTGTGTTGTTTCGATGATGATACTGAGAATGTAACAAGCAAGTGGGTATATTTGATTAAGTATCTTGGTTAAGGCTCGATTGTAAAATGTTGTCATGGATAAAGTGTGTTTTAATAATTCTTTAAAAAAAAAAAAGAGAAAAAAAAGAAAAAGAAAATGTTAAAATATTGTATGTATTTGTAGTGATAGTAGGAGAACCAACGGAACCTCCCTAACAGACCTGGCATGTTCAGAAATTCGTAGAATAACAAGCAAGTACAACGTTCGTAGTAAAGATGAAAGAAGAAATAGAAAAATGAAAAAAGCAAATTAATATTCCCTGTCTAAACGGTCGAAGCTTTGTCTCGCGATAAAATTCCACTTCCCCGCTGTTGGTTCATCGAGAAGTGATTAAAAGAGAACAACAGATCACATCCTTTATATCGTCGTTCCCGTTTGTATGAGCTAAAAAAAAAAAAAAAAATATTCAGAAGAACCCTATTGTAAAAAAAAAAAATATAAACGACAACCTAAAATTGAACCAATCCAAAAGGAAGCAAATGTCGAACACCTCTAACCCTTTGCACTCCGCATAATTTTCTCTTTTTTTTTAATACGCTCATCGACTCGACAGGATCATTTGACTCGAAGCAATTCTTCTTCTCACGTTCCGACGACATAAATAGGTATAAAAAGAAAAGAGAATGCAACAATGTAACTCAATAAAGAAATTTTCACAGTTATTTTCACTCATTCACGCCTACAATTTTTATATAAACAATTAAAAAAAGGAAAAACAACACTATTGTTATAAAAACATCTCCCTATGTAACGTAACCAAAAAATTGCCTAACGTCCAAGTGCAAAGGGTTATATGTACTCTATCACGTGTCTTATACTCTCTCCTCGAATAATACGCCCGACAATCACGAAAATCAAATCAAATTCCCGCGCTACGTAGCGACCCTTAGCTGCGCCGCCGCCGCCAGGTGGTACGATGATACATGCGTGCAGGTGAATTCTGGCCGAATTAATAGAGGCGGTCGACACGAAACTCTTCTATAAATAAATCCTGATGTCCGGTGTTGCGTGGACGGACCAGAGGGTACAGGGAGTCGCCTAGAAGCCGCTGCAGCAGCGGGCTGCTCTAGGAAACATCAAACTCTCCTCTCTCTCTCTTTCTCTCTTTCCCCCTATCACGGTTTCTCCCTCTTTTTCCACCCTTTTCTCCGGGGTCGTGGCAACACCGTGCCACGCGACGCCAGCACCACCGCCGCGGATCGTCAAACTGAAAGGGAAAAATAGAAAAAGGGAGAAAAAGAAACACACACGCGCGCAGAAAGCAAGTAAACGTCGAGAAAAAGGGCATTCGGGAACGTGAATAGGCGAGACATCGCGCGACTCTGTACATCGGTATTATACCTCGAGAGTTTATACGCATCGCCGTCAGGTAGGCCAGAGAGGAAGAGAAGACTGGAGGTGGACAAGTGGAATCCAAGGGGGTGGGGATGGAGCCGGAGCAACGTGGACGCGCCTCACGAGCGTCGTCGACGTCGAGCCTCGGCCGCGAGGTACGTTGTGGCTGTCAGTACTACCAGAGCGACTCGCTTCTGCCGGAACGACGTGCTCTCCTCGGTAGACCGCCGTCCAGGACGATGCAGCAGCCACCTGCGGTCCGCTGCAGGTCAGTAACAACATACCGATACACCCAGTAACCAGTACACACGAGACTACCATAAACGCGAGACATATGTGTCTCTGTGTGAGAGATGATCAGACACAGACCTTTTTCGCACTTTTGTCTTGTCTCTACTGATCCTCCATTACTCTCTACGGTATCCTTATGTCTTGAACTATGTACAACATAGAAATGGACATATAGTGTAGACTGTGCATACGCTTCAAGAATATACATATGAGATTGACTTCTCTCAATAGTTTCCATGAATGTCCTTTATGTATGTATGTACATATATGTATATACATGTGTGTCCGAGAAGCTTGCTTCGATTGGAGAAGTAACATATCGGAAATGCCAGTGATTCGGTATCCAGGCCATTCCGCACACGCATGTGTCCGCGGTGTATAGGTTACGCGTCTCCGCTATGCTCGCGAACCGCCGCAGCTATTTAAGGTTCGCCCGGCTGGCTATACATAGAATCCTCGATCAGCTCGGTTCCGCGTCCAGACTTCTCATCTTCTGTGTCTCATTATACGTGCACGTGTGTGTGTGTATGTATGTATTTGTGTGCAAGTATCGTGGGTGGTAGTACGAGGAGTATTAGACGAATGTGAATGTCCGTGCATGTAAGGAGGTTATGTAATTCTGAGTGTATGTACGCTTCATGGTAGAGATTACTACTTTTACGCATCTGATTGTATTAGTGTGTGCATATATGTATATACGTGTGTATGCGATGTTTTATGTGGAGTATTTTAGAGGCTAGTATTAAAGTGGCGTTGCGTATGAATGTGGAAGCATGCGTATAGGAAGATTACATGATTATAAGTGAAACAAATCCTTATATGACCGACCGGTATCACTTTATTACCAGCCGATGATTATGAAAATTGTTTAAGTCGTAATATATTTTTCCTCTCGAGATATTTACACTTTTTTTCACAACCCTTTTTCATATTTTCACCGTCAACTCCGTTTTTAACCGTTCAATTTTTATAAATCGATACAACACAAATTTTTTTTACTTACACCACTATCGAGATCACAGGGTGTATACGTGTATGAGTAATTTGTATATATAGAGTGGTATTGTTAGAACGGTACAAGTATTGAATAATTATAGATACGCATGCACGTGTAGAGGTTATATTATCGTGAATGTGTACATATTTCATGACTCCTATGTGTCTCGCTTTATTTTTTTACACCTATACAACTATAATTACGTATATAGACGACGTTAGAAGTAATATCAAGGGTATTACATAAACGTGAATTGTACGATTGCGACTTTACACGTATTTCACGTCTTGTACGAGTGTGTTGGTGTGCGTAGAGTAGTTCAGAAGCATCGTGCGGTATAATTCGAGAAAAGAGAGGGTTAGGTTGATGATTGTCGCGCGAACGAGCGCGGGATTCTAACCTCTAAAGTGAAAAGTGGGGAGGGATGAATAGACGTGACGCGATTAAGTGGGCATCGGGTTATTGTATCGCGATAATGGGAACACTGCTATCGATGATCGACTCGCGGAAAGTCGCGATAACGCTCGACCAGCCGGGACCGAGATAACGGGCGGTTCTGCCTCAAGGATTCTTCAAGACGCCACCTTGGCTAATCTAATAACTGGCCGAGTTTTCAACGTATTTACTTTCTATAGGAACGAAAAATTGCGCGAATTTCAAACTTCATTTTTGAACAACTCAGCAGTGAGGAAAGAATCTAAGAAAGTTAGGTTAAGGAAGTGCATGAATATTATTCGATTTGTATAAATGATTAACGAGTTAGGATATTTGAAAATTGAATGTTGGAAATTCGGTGTTTTTTTTTCTTTCTTTTAACTATTAGAAGATTCTTATCTGACTTCGGTAAAGTAGATAAAGAATAAGTTGGAATATTGAAAATGTTTTAATTAGCATATTATGCTAAAATTTTTTTTTTATTCGATTTAACAAAATACAGATAGGTGACTAATTTTCGTAATTGTAACACAGTATACTCCTGCCGTCCACGAAGGAAACCGTACCTGAATGAAAAAACAAAGAGGATGAAACAGCGAATGTCTTCCTTCGACACTGCCCTCCCGATCAAAACCGTCTGTCAATTAACCCTGTGATCGAAGCGCAAACGCACTAACTCGCCGCTGGAAGCCTGCCGCCTGTCCGACCAGTGATTTACTTTTTCCACTGAAACGTTCTCCCTTCTCGTGAAACGAGCGCACCATTTCAACAGCGTGGTTTCCAATTTGTCGAATAATACTACATATAACAAAGACTGATAATGGAATTAACAGTATTCGTACTAATGGTACAAACTTGCTAATGCTCAAGATAAGTTAAACAGCATTAATAACGTAAACGCTATTTTTACTCAATGTATTTAGATAAGTAAGTGTATTCAGTATTAATACTCAACTAATTAACGCTCAATTCTGCCAATTTCAAGCTGCCAATTAGTTGTAATAATTATTATAAGAATTATAACGAAACTCAAGCCGTCGACACCAGTTGCCATAATCTTCAAAGAGACACTAGAAATTCAAGCTGTCCATTAACCATAAATCATTAAGGGAAAACTGCACAAATCTCGTTATACAATTTAACCAAGATCAAATAATCAACTAACGGTTAATTCTTTCAATAATTCTCTTAATAATTAACCAAACTCAAGCTGCCAATTAACCAATAAACAATCCCTGGTAAAATTCACCAAAAGAAAAAAGCGTACACCAATCTGTCGATTAATCCATCGCAGAGAGCGAATCATTAACCGAAGAGCAATTAACGAAAAACAAAACAAAAAAGAAACAAACAAAAATGCCAGTGAAATCGAGAAGAAAACGAGTGTCTTTTCGTAACAGCGAGCACGATTACGAACCGATCGCGGCGCCGTCGCCGTCGCCCAAGCTGGCGACGGCTCCGGTCGTCCGGATCACCGACACGGATGTGGTGCCCGTCGCTGACAGCGACGAAAGCATCGACGACCGGACACGGCTGCCGCTGGAGTTGACACGGGCTGGCGATGTGGTCCTTCCTTTGGATGGCAAGATCGAAGATACCGCGATGGAGGCTCGCGAACTCGTTGAAACTGGCGGCAACTCCGGGCGCTGAGTCCAGGACCGATGGCGAGGTCAACACTAGTCAGGTGAGCGATCTTGTTTAGAATATACACAGTGTATAGAGGACAGTGTCGTAAAATTCTTACGATTGAATTGATATTATTAATTGGTACTATTCAACTATCGTTGTTACGTCACTGTAATTGATTATTTTCATTAAACTGGTATTGTTGATACGTCACTTGTAACGATGATTATAGGGTATTGAGTTATTTGGTAGATAATATGCAATTGTTTATTGTTATAAAATTATGAATATCGATCGATGATTATCGAGTGATAAGATCGAAGTGGTACTATCGTTATTATTACCTCGTTGATATTATTGCTGAATTATTATTAAGTACGACTACTTGAGTTAATATCATTGACCTATAATCACCAATTACTAGTATTAAATCAGTAGCATTAATTAGTTTTATTCAATTGATATTCAGAATTATCATTGATTATTATTATTATTGACTTTCTATTACCGATCATTTATTACTAAAATTGTACCAATATTCTTGGAGTAACATATCCGACGATGTCGCTGATGACGCACTGACACCAGTGGGTCACCAGAACTGGAAGACTCGAATAGTTTCCCGGTATATACTTCGCACACAGTAGCAAGCATGAATCAGTAGAACGTAAAAATGAGTCTTAGCTCATACGATTGTACGACAGTCGTGTTATTTTCATATGATGAATTCATCTCTAAAATTACACTTTTCCCCTAGAAAAAGAAAAATCCCCAGAAATAAATTCACCCGTCAGCCATTCAAACGACTACCATCAACAAACAACACCATTAATGGTAACTTCTTTCGAGGGACAATTAGACACTTAGTTGGTCGTGAAGCATATTTTTTTTTCTCTCTTCTTTTGTTCAAGGAAGTAACTCAACGTTCCCCGTCCTGTGCAACCACCAGGCGGGAGAATTTTACAAAACGAACACGCATGGCGGAATGTCGCGCGAGAATTTGTCCGTTTGTTGCCCACCGGCGTCTATATTTAACGAAACACGCGTATAAAAAGCATTAGAGCCAACGTGTCACTGTCCGACGGCGGGCCATTGTGCAACCGCGTCACGAACGTTCCAGAAAACTCGGGCTTTCCCATCGATTGCACAATTCTACCACTTCCCTCGTCCTCCTGTCGAAAAATATCCGATCCGAACGATCGAAAACGCGAATTTATCATCGACGATTCCGACGCGTGTATCTGGTTTGGTTATGTAACATGTTGAAATCACTCATTGGTGGAAAAATAATAATTGATGGATAGCGATGGTACGCGCGGCTATTTCGGGACACGAGACGCACGAGTGTTTCTGGCTCATTAATGTTGCCACACACTGTACCAGAAATTTAGCACGAGTGCTGGGTTACCGGAGCTCGTTAATTGGTTGTGGTCGTGTTTGATCACTTTCGATTGTACACACTGGACACTTGTATCAAAACGACAAATTTATGTTTCATTCGTACATTTTTCGAGATAATTGATTTTAAAAATATTTTAGATTAGAAACATTCGTAGTTTAGAATATTTGAAAAGGTGTCGATTTCGAACACCGAATGAGACATTAGAATTTCATTAAATTCAAATATTCTCCCTTCAAACATCTCTTCTCCTATTCTCATTCACGATACTATTTCTGTCTGCATTCTCAATCCCTTTTTCTCCTCTAGAAATATCACCAACATCTCACGACACATCCTCGACGTTTAAAAAGAGAATCCGATTGCGTCAGAGTCCAAATCAACATCAACAGACGGCTCACAATAACCTCAAACATCCCAGACACGCGACCGGCGACCATCTTCTTAACCTCACGCGATCTAATATCCATCTCAGGTGATCCACTGACGAATCAAGCATACCAATGTTTTATTTCAGGTAGATTCGTTGGCATTGGAGGAGCTTCCTCTTCGTCGCGGTGCCCGTGGCCTGCCCCAACGATTGAAGACGCAAGCTGGCAAACTACGAACTCGCCTGAGAAACATCCAACGACCGAGCTTCGCTTTCGCTGAACGACAGAAAACGGAGAAGCCAAGATCGACCAACAGCGCTAGATCCGACAGGTCCAGGACTGAGAAACGACCCAGTCGAATGGACAGGATACGCTCTTCGTTCTCGGAGAGACCACGATTCAATCTACCGAGTCGCCCGAAGTTTTCGTTGCCCGATCGATCCAAGTTTCATCTGCCAGAACGAGCGAAATTTCACTTGCCCGATAAAGCGAAGTTCAACATCAAGAAACCGAACATTCGTCTTCCTAATGCTTTAACACGCGCGAAAAAATCGCCACCCATGCATGGACAACGCTCCACAGATTCCACGATCGGTTCTCGCAAAAATATCTTCGACTTTTCCACTTATCCACGAATATTCGACAAAAAATCGAAGACCAAGGGGGAGTACGCTACCTCCACGCCGAAAGATTCGAGGGCCCAGTCCGCAGAGAGCGCTACGTTCCCTCGAACTCGCAAAAAAGCCGATAGATGGCCGCACAGGTTCGATACACCGATCGCTTACATCGACGAGGATCGTTCGAACGAGGAAACCGCGATAGAAAGAGCGCGACCATGGCGCCATCCCTCCATGGAGGAGCCTAGATTGTCAATAGGTGAAATTAATGTAACCACGATTCCTTGGGAGGAGAAACATAGACCGCAGGAGTTACAGTATATGGATTATGAGCAGGAGTCTCCTGAAACTTCCGATCACCAGCCACGTCCTAGATCAGAGGCGTCTAGAACGGAGGAGGAATCTTATGACAGAGATGGAATGGAGTCAGACCCGAGACTGTACCGCGATCAGGTTGAAAAAGACGTGGAAGAAGAGAGTCCAGAGAACTGGAGGACCAAAGAAGAGATTCCTAGAAAAGAATTCAGACAAATTCAAAAGTCTAGATCTTTGGAGGAACTTCTCAGAGCCAGAGAGGAAGAAAGATACGAAGCTTCTTTTGCAATGGTTGATCCAAGAAGGTACGGAGTACACAAGACACCCTCCGAGGAGGAAGAATACGAAGAGGAAATGGAGGACGAAGAAGAACCGGAGCCTTCGTCCGCTCAGTCTGACAGGGAGCAGCAGCATTCGAGCGCCAGCTCCTGTGACAGACGTCGTCGAGGAGTGATAGAGGAGATAGACTCCGATGAATTCTTTCTACGAGCAAGTGGACTCAGTCAGGGTGATATGAACCTAGGTAAATATTTGTCCAGTGAGATAAGAGACGCCTTCAGACCAGAAAGAGCCAATATCCTGGCTGACGAGGACATAATGCCAGTTCCACCGCAACGACCAACAAGAAAAAGGTCCATAAGGAAACAAAAGCAAAGTTCGATAGAATCTTATGACACAATGCCACCGATTAGACCGAAAAGGGACTCGAACAGGATTCGACGAAGCGAATCCGCCGACGATCAGTTCCGTGAACGAACCAGAAGCGACTCTAGACACAGGGTGGTCTATCAGACAGAGGGAAAACCCGCGGAAATTCCAGTGGAACCACTGGACGATATCGTAGTGGTGAAGCCCATGCGCAGAAAGTCCAAATCCTCGCAAAGGAGTGGGTCTCAACTACCGGAAATGGAACAAGCGCCACCTGTGGCGCCTACACGGCGAAAGCGCCTGCGCAAAACGCCAGCGGAGCGGAGAAACGGTGAACTAGGGCCCGTTTGTAACGGACATTCTGAATGGACAGCCGATTCTGCGCCAGAAAAACCTCTTCCCTCACCTCCACCGATGATCGACGAAGATTTGCAAAGGGAGCAAGAATTATATACTACCGAGGATATCATTACAGGAAGCGAGGAGGATATTCAAATGTTAGCTACCAGACTCCAGCATGAGGAATACATGGAGCCAGTCCCAGTGCCGCCAAAACGGAGATCCAGGTCCAGAGGCACTTCCGTTGCTCAGGACGAAGACAGAACCTCCCATGGAGCTGAATCTTTGCCCGAAGCTGGTTACGTGGAAGAGGATATTCCTCCAGATGACGTGAACCTTGAGAGAGATTTATCTGGTTACGCTATAATCGAGAAACGGGAGAAACCACCCAGACCACCACCTCCAAGGAGAAAAAAGGACAAGTTCGCCACTGCTCCGAGACAAGTTGCACCCAAACGTCCGCAAAGAGGGTACAGCACCCTGAGACCAGGAAAGTCCAAAGAAATTGGTATTTTAGACGATGATTATGATGTTACTTTACAAGCAGCTGAATCTACTCCTTACATAGAAATCGACTCTGACGACGGGGAGCATAAAGACCTTCGTAGCAGCGAGGTTTTGAGCAAAATACAGGGACGTCCGCTGCCAGCCCCTCCCAGGCCACCTAGAGTGAGAAAAGAAAGATCTCTGGAACGGCCTGTCCGCGAGACACAAGAAGACATCACGATGGAAATGACCACTGCCACGCAAACTGATCCTCTACCTGACGATATGGTTATAGAGGAAGAAGTAACACAGGCTAAGCTAGTGGTGGCGCCATCTATGTCAGGCTCTCAGATCATGGTCTCCACGGAAAGAATACCTAGCCCACCGAGCATAAGCACGCCACCTGTCCCTCCTCTTCCGACATCTCAACGTCTGCGCAAAGAGGATCAAATGGGTCTACCATACGATACCGTGTCGTTGAAGTCTCCATCGCCAACAAGGGAAGTTGAGACCTATGAAGATAGACACTTGTCCGCTCCACACTTAGAGGAGCCGATCAGAGACGAGGACTCGCATTTAAGGTCTATTCGTTCCGCCTTATTCTCCGATGAACCTGTTAGAATTAGTAATTTGGAAGTAGGAGACTTGAGAGTGGATCGTTTGAGCGTATCGCAAATCGAGGCTGCAAAAATAGTCGCTTCCGAGGTGGATGCTTTAGTTATCACTGCATCCGAGTTGAAGAACATAGGTGGCGGTATGGAGGAGAGCCTGTCGCCCTCTATCATCAGAGAATTAATGGCAATAAGAAGCCACCTGGAGATCGTAGCGGCTTCCAGAGCAGTGGAGAGCCAACAGGTGGTGACAGAGAGGAAGACAGACATTCCCGTTGCAGAGAGGCAGAAAGAAGAAGAGAAGACACATGCGGTCCAGGCAGCTGAGAAAGACGAGAAAACGACGAAGGAGGAGCAAAAGGTTGTTAAAAGAGAAGTAACCGAAACCGGGTTCAAAGATATACGCAGTACACACACATTAATGGTCACGCGACCACCGGACAGAGAGTCGACACACACACTAGAAGTAGCGCATGTAGAATCGAGTGACAAAGATATTCCTAGCACACGATCGTTAACTGTCGTTCAAGGTACTCAAGATAAGTCCTTACGAATTCTAGATACAGAAACCCCCCTTTCTTTGAGCCCGGCCACCGCTCTGGAGCTCATCATGGATGAAGCCCGCGTGCCCCCTCCCCGTTCCGTAACGACCAGTGTGGAAGAGAGAACCGAGTCGAGGCTGTCCCCTGACCGTGTCTCTGAAGCGAGCAGCGAACCATCGGAACCTCCAGCTATCTTCGATTCCAAATTGCTGTACGAGTTCTCGAAAACGTTAGAGCATACAGATGATAAAGAGGGCTCGCCAGAGATCAGTGAACGAACGACTTATCAAAAGTCGAGGTCCAGATCACCATCTCCTATTGGCATCTCTAGAACGCGACAGACTGCCTCTCCTGTTCGTTCTCTGCCGCCAGCCATCTCTGTAACACCTGATACACCTGACAGTGTTGCCACTCATGGCATCACCAGTGAGGTACAGCCACAACGCGCCGTGATCTCGTATTCGTACACGAATCAATCGGATAGGGACAGTCAAAGGGAATCATCTCAATCACCGATACCCTCCTCCTTTTCCCTTGGGGGCACCCATCTCATAGCGTTTCCAGCATCACAGGTACCGCCGCAGTTCCTCTCGTTGGCAAGTCAGCAGGTCGACGATGAACCGAGTATCGCGGAGAGTACGAGACAATTGGTTAGGGTCCTTAGGTTAGTCGGCCTGAAGGCGATCAGACACTTCGTCAGTTATATGACGACAATGATTGGTGTAGAAGACAGTAGGGCGAAGATCCGTGAAGTGGAGCTTACATTGTGCGCGCTATTACTACTGGTCACAGGCTTGTTGATCTTCTTTTTCAGCAATCCGCGAACGGTGACGCATCATCATCATTGGGACTACTTTAATCCGCCGAAGTAATATGCCGTAGACGAATCGTAAGAAAGTCGTCTGTGAGCAGAGCTTTAACGCTGTTACATTTGTAACGTTAAGTCATTTTATATACGTATAAATGGGATTGAATTTCTCCATGATGAGGGAATAACAGGAGGATAGACCAAATATCTTGGAATAGGCGCAAAGGGTAACATAAGAGGATGTATGCATGCATGTCAAAGAAACGAAGATTTGGTAGTTAGGTCTGCCCCCTGGTATCAACGAACAATAGTTAATTTGTTAAATGTTTGTTACATTTCGACGAAGTGTATATACACGAGATATTACAGCTGCTCGTATTGATAAATTGAGCAATGACAGGTTTCGCTTGATGAAAATCGAACGAGTGATTGACAGTTGCAGAAGAAATAATATATGTATACCCACAGTTTGCTACAAGAATACTTGTACTTAATCGCTAAAATGTGCATACGTATAAAAACAATATACAAGTGTTACAACCACTATTTTTTTATCGACACGAATTCTTCGTAGAAAAGGTCAAATGCCGCGTAAAAGGCGATTGATAAAGAATACGAAGAAATATGCAATAAAATAACGTGTTTTGTATCTCGTTTGACCGTTTGACTAGATACGGATTTATAATACCAGCATGGCATCATAAACGTTAAGGATCGCGATTTGATGAAAATATTTTTTGATACCTTGCAAACATTAAAGGCTATGTACAACTTTATTTTAAAATAAGTTTCCGAATATTGTAACCCTATAACAATAACATACTCTAAAAGAACAAGAAAAAATTAAAAAAAAAAATATTGCGTTCACATAAAAAGATCTTCCTCGTACACTCTCAGATCTCTCCTATCTTTGTGTGCACTTTTCTGAGAATAGTTCGCTGCGATTGGTGACCACATAGAACTAGACGTGACGTCGTTCACAGGTTCTATTATAGGTTGTCTTCGTGCTAACGATACTTTCAACTGAATGGAAGATACCATACTGCCATCCATTTCACTTATCGCCCTTTCAGCGGCTTCCGCTTTGTCAAATGTCACGAATCCACGACTAAAAAATAAAATTACATATTACTACAATTTTATGCTTTTGTATCCAACAAAATTATATTAATTTTATTTACTTCTTTTCTGCTTCCATTGAAATGTTTATAATATTTCCAAATGTCTGAAAATGCTTTTTCAAAAAGTCTTCTGATATTTTATAGCCACACACAAATATCGTGTTTCCAGAACGTGGTTTTATTTCTTGTTTAGATGGAGACTGTGCATCTCCACTAGTACGATCTTCTGGATCTTGAGCACTCACAAAACTGTCATACAAATCTTTAACCCTTGGCCTCACAGTTTCTATTTCTTCTTCCTCCATCTGTGTGGCTGAGAAAGGTTGATAAGAACTTATTGTTTTTTCTGTGCTGTTTAATTTTCTTACTAATCCACGTGGTCTTTTAAATGATTGCTCTGGTCTTTTGGGAGTTTTGGGAGCAGTAATTACTCCAGATTTTATCAGTTTTTTAGCAACTTCTCTAGCATCTCTTGCTTCTGTTGGTCGTTTTGGCGTTTGTGGAACGCGTTCAACTTCTTGTTTTGGCGCTTTTAAATCTTGCAATGCCTTTTTCTATAATAAAAAAAAATACAAAAGAGAGTTAAAAATATAACTTTAAAGATTAGTAAGATAACCTATAATCAGAGAAATGACATTTAATCTTTAAAGAATCCAATCTATCAGAGAATTTGAACAAAAATTCAGTTAATCTCATTGAGTTTTAATCTTGTCGAGCAAATAACAATTAGTTCATACCGATCAAAATAAAAATATTTATTGTAATACAGAAACATAAACATAACCTATTACACACCTTTCTTTTAAGTTTGTTATACTTTGCTTGCAGCATCAATTCTTCTTCCGTTAAATTTGATGGAAAATGTAAGTACACCATATTTTGCATGTAATACAAGCAAATATAAATTTCTTCCTATTCGCACAAAGATTTTAACGAAACATCAAAAATTGATGTTTACGTTTCACTTCACTGTCTTAAAGTATTTCAAAATTTTTGCCGCGTACGTTGGCAAGCATGAAAATAAAAATGGGCGGGAGGTAATACATCCTATAAAAGAAACAATAAATTAATCATTTATGCATTATAGAAAAGTGCTAGAATACTTAAATGGTTTTTATTCAACGTTTTGTCCAAATATTGTTACTTAACAATGTCAAATAGAACTAAATAAAGCAACAGATTTGAAAATTCATTATGGCAAAAAATAAGCGAAAGAGAGGAACTAATTTCAACGTAATATTTATTCAGTCCATTTCAAACGATTCACGCAAAAAGGCATATTAAAAATTAATGAATGTAACAATCGCGCCAAGTCAAAAGGAAACAGCGGTAAATTCAAATAACGAGTTCAGTCACTTCGGTATTCAATTAGTAATAGTTATAAACATAATTTCCTTCACAATCGTAGTTTATTATACAAAGAATAATATTTAATCGTCGGTGGTGAAAAAATGTCGATAGAGAGCATAATTCTAACGAGTGAAGTTTGCGCGCTACAATTACGGTGTTCAATTATTCGCAAAAAGGAGAAAGTATGATTTGTAACATTGCTTATATTTTTACGCCAACATAAATATATGTAAATACTTTAATGTTTCAAACAATTGTCAAAAGACAGCGGAATACTCACCTCCAATTCGAATATCTAAAAACCTATAAGATAGTAGGTACACGCAAATATCGAGGATGTTAGTGAATGTATAAAATACCCTACAGATCCTACAAAAACGAAGAAACACCTTGTTCAAGATGTAAGTTTTGAAAATAATTAATAACGCTCAATCATCAACCAAAGAATTTCGAATTCATAAAATAATCGATAGTATTCGCAGTCTTACAAAGCCATTCGTTAAATTAGTACAAATAAGTAAAAAAATAATCAATTTGATATTACAGAATACTTGAGTTTTAATTTTTCACGGCAATTTATAAATTTCACGTTTATTCGCACATACCCACTATTATACACAAAGGACACTGTCCCAATATTTGGTAATTACAAAAACAATCGTCAAACAAATATTCAAAGCCTAGCTCGTTAAATTACAAAATATGTATATGTGAAAAAATGTAAAAGGGAACTAGACGGAATTAAGCCTTTCATCGTGTTTGGACAAAAAAATAATAAACTATTTAAAAATGAAACTATCAAGGCAATTTTTGTGTTTACAGTTAGTTACTTTTCGTGGTCTTATATAAAATTTATATGTATGATAGATTGCGAAAGAAATAATTGTATTTCTCTTTTTTTTAACATTTCATTACATAAGAGAGCAAAAATATCATTACTATGAATTAATATTTATCCCGAAATATTATTCATAATAATAGTTACATTCAATCTAATAAATCGATACGTTCAAACAAAATTTTCAAATCAAACTTTTGAATCACGTTTTCTTTTTTTTTACTTTATAAATATCAAGATTGTCATGTTTATTAAAAATTACCAATATATCACAAAAGATTCGAGCTAGGCTTTTATGTAACAAGTATATCATAAATATAAATTACAACTATGTTGAAAATTGTGAGAACATTGTAAATTGTTGTACAACAACTGATATAAATACTCCCAGAAATAATGCATATCTTATGAATTCCTTTTTAATTCAATAAATTTTAAATATCTCTATTCATTAGTGGTTATTATTCGATGCATTCGCCACTAATGGTGAAATAATTGCAAAAGAATAATAAACAAGTCACGAAGTGTCTATCAAAATGTTCTAATAGTGATAAGGATTAGCAACAACTTTGTATTTAACCCTTTCAGCACCAAAAGTTCTAAGAGTGTGGAATTAGTGAAAAAAAAAAAAAAATGCCAAGTTAAACTGCTGATAAATGCAAGAGGATGATGTGCTACATGCATGCAATACATTATGGTACATTTTAATACAAAACATACTTTTCTATATTATATTTACTGATGTATGGTGATATTAATACGAAGAAAGATTTGATTCACAAATTTTATTATTTACAAGCATTGGTCTACAAAATGTAAATTTAGTGGACTTCCTTTGAGAATCTCTTTTTTTCTTCATTATATTGCAAACTCGATTTGTAGGAAACAGCAGTAATGCCAAAAAGTGGCAAAAATGTACTTTTTTTGGTTTTTCGAGTGGTACAGATCTTTTATGTACCGATAAAATGTAATGAATGATAAACATACGTAATGAAATAAATTAAAACCGACTGTATAGAATACATGCCTGGCCAGAATGAATCTTCATATTCATATCGATGAATGTTTCCTTAATTTGGTAGTAGTGGCGCCAAGTCTAAATGTGAACAATAAATATTGCTCAAAAGTATAAATTATATATATATAATGAGTTTTAGGAATTCTTGCCATCAATGTTGAAAAACAGTTCTTAATCATACTTTTAATTATCGATAAACTGTACACGACACACATTTGATGCAACCAATGTGAAACACGTTTTTGAAGAAATAAAGAATCGTAACTAAATTTAAACAAATTCAAGCGCTACTACTGCCAGATTAAATTATTTAACTCAGGACTTAGGATACTACTATATCATAAGAATGCAATTTAACCTATACTGGCATTAAAAGGGTTAATTATTGTTGTGTCAGATAGATGTTTTTTTTCTTTTTTTTTTCTTTCTTTTTTTTCTTTTTTTTTCTTTTTTTTCAACAAATGAATATACTCTGTGCTGCATTCCGAAATTAAAAATATTTAACATTTTAAACAAGACAATTATCTAAAGCGTTTTGATGATACAGATATGTGAAGGTATAAAAATTCCTACAATTAAGAAATGTATCAAGGAATTTGTGAAAATAATGTAGCTGCAGGAACTCCAATTATATATATGTCTGTATGTATAAATACGTATATGCCAGTTACACACACGCGCGTATCGAAAGAAGTCCATAGTTTAAATTCGGATTATCACCAAGTAATTCAATTACCCTCCCCTTTTTCTTTCGTGTAATTTACTGTCATTTTACTATAACTCAGTAATCCATAAGTTATTAGGAGTTTTATGATTCTTATAGTTTCGAAACATTTTAAAATGAAACATGATAACCGAGATCTAAAATCTCTTGGTAACGTGCAGTGTTTTACAAACTCGATGAATTTTACAAATCCGGTTGGTTCCAAGAGACAAAAGGCTTTAGACACACGGAAGCTTTGAAATATCGAAGACTTACTGAAGCACAGAATATTTTGTAATTGTTGAGTACTACATTCCACAAATACCTGACACGATGTAATCACTTTGTACGCAAACGTTTCATGTTCCCACACATGCCTATTTAACAAATGTTTTTCAGAGGGTGTATGTTCGATGGACGATCATTCATCATCCAAATATATTCTAAGCGCTTTCTCTTTACGCCCACTATAACGTGACGTAGAGCAAAGTGGTAATACACGTGGTACTTCTTGAATTGCAAGTTCATTGTACTCTTCCCGCATAAAATCTTCTGAAGTTTCCCCCCTGTTATCTCTATGAAGTATAAAATTTACAAATCAATTATTCCTGCATCTTATTTTAATCTTTTTATACATGTGCTATATAGTAAGTGTTTAATACGTACTGGTATAAAAACATAGTACCATCTTCAAGATTAAGGTCAGCATCAACCCTTAACACATTAAACTCTAAATCACTGTGTATATGATGTTTGAAACCCTTTCCTCTTGCTATATTTATATATTTTTCAGGTATATCAGATAGTAAAGACAACTAAAAGAAAATTCCATTATAATTATCATATAATTTTTAGCCTTTTGCAAGAAATAGAACATAATTCACCTACTTTTTTCAACATTTCTGCTACAGTCTTTTCATCCAAAACAATTTCCTGAGGAGGTCCAAGTTGATTTTTTGTAGAGTACCATCGCCGGACGAATACAATAGCTTGATTGCTATTGGTAAATGGGTCTTTATCAGGTAACTCTTGTATCATCATTTCTGATAAATAAAAATTTAATTCCTCGAATTTCTGATGGTCTAAAAATACTTTTGAATCTAACATGAAGCTTTTTTTCCTCAATCGACATCTCTCATATGGAATTTCAATATTATATCTTTTCTTCATTTCTGCGAGAATCTCTTTTTTCGCTTGTCTGACAGTCATGTCGTCCGAAACGATCCAATCGAATAAGTATTTATAAGGCTGAGGAAAGTACAAAGAAGAAGTATTATTGCGTATAAAAGAAAATGAAAAGACAGATATTAAAAATTTATAGAAGAATCTTAATAATTTGTATATACCTCGCTTGGACCAAGGAAAAACTGATACAATTTTACTTTAAATTCACCATTACGTAAAGCCCGTCCTATCTCTATCCAAAGCGTTTCACCATCCCGGTAAGAAACAAGGTCAATTAACGAACTACAGTCTGATTCGCCACATTCCTCAAACAGGCGGCAAATTTTGAAAAAATTTGTGGGTACACCGACATGTGGTTCTAATCGTTCCTTTAAGCTGTTATAGCTTATTCTTTTGTCGCTTAGTACTATCAAAACTACGCGGTAAAAAGAATCATTGTCATTTGTTTTTACTGTATTAAATATTTCGTAAAACAAATTTATAAGATACATACTTTTCTCGTTATAACTTGTGACTGAAGTGACCTTAAAATAGTAGTCCGTAGAATCAGTGGAAGTAATCCAGTTATCACGTCGAAATAGATTTAACTTTTTACCGGTACGATTACTCGTACTTGGTGGAAAATAAGGTAATTGAAAATCATCATCTCCTGGTGCATCTCCCACTAAAGTTTTATCACTATCACTGAGACTACTATCTTCGCTATTGCTCTGTTCAGGAGTATGCCATTCCTCGCCTTCTCCTAATTGCGGACTTGCATTCCTTGCAGGAGCATCTTCAACAGATTTTCCGCTCTTTGGAACCTCATTACATTTTAAACCAGCATCACGATGCGATTCGTTAACGTTTGTTTTGGATGAACCGTCAGTTCTACGTTTTCTTCTTAAAACAGATTCTCTTAAACCTTTATACAATTCTTCTATGTATGCTGCACATTTCATTCAAAAATAAAATTATACACCATAACTTTGGATGGTAATAAATCAGTTTTATTAAAAATTAATATCATTATTGCTTACCTTTATTTGGATTAAGAGGTAACCTTATACATAATGTAATAATGTTTTCTAACTGTTCTGCAATTCCATTTATTGCTGCTTCAAGGAAAGATTCACACTCTGTATCACGTTTATTACATATGAACACACTTACTGCATTACAAAACTCTGCAGTCTGCAGGTCAACGTCATCATTTCGTACGATTATAATCGTACTTGTTCCATGCTTTCGTAAGACTATTTTCATCTCGTCTGGATTCATATCAACAAGTTTTCCTACCATTTGTTTATATTCTCTCACTGTTTGTGTATGTAAAGCTTGTACAGTTTTTGGCCCTTCTACAAGTTTTTTCTTAGCTACGTCAACGACACATACTTTGGTTACAATATCTACAAATTCAAAAAAAAAGAATATTTCTTTTATTCGTGACATATACATACCCATATATATACATATATATATACAAACAGATACGTACGAATTTCTAGATATGGCACGAATTTTTGTTCTTTATCGTATATTTCTAACAATAAACTGTTTCGAATCAATCGATTACCAATAATACTTCCTAGTGTCTCATGCTCTCTCCCTTCGTAGGTATCCTCGATTACGTCATTGTAGTGATCATAAGACACTAAACGACACTGTTTTAAACTCACTATTCCGTCCCAGCAAAAATATGTATAAACGTCCTTTGTGATTTCAGCCAAAGTTGCAAAAGGCGAAAAGTTGAGTTTAACACACAGTTTTTTATCATCGTTAGGACGCTGGCAATATATTGCTAGTTTAAGTACTAACGAACAACGCTTTCTGGCATTATCCTCATTTTCTTTCATTTTTTTTAATAATTCCTGAAGTTGGATAATATAACATGTTTGTAATAAAAAAAAAAAGTAAAATAAACTTAATAATGTTTTTGAAGATTACGTTTTACCTGTATATGTACTGGAAACTCGAATACACGCATAGGTAAAGCATTACGAGCGGGATCAATTTGTCTATACATGAGCATGTATGCATTGGTACTACTGCAAGCACTATTGTAGTATGGCCTAGTAGAACCACCGCCATACGTTTTCTGAATATCATCATGAGTTATCTATAATTAAAATAATTACTAATTTAGTAATGTTATTATAGCAATTTAAAAAGTACCTATTCTTTAATAGTAATATACAATATAAAATAAATACTTTTAGATACCTGAGTTACACTTTGATCGTTGAAACACAGCCATTCTTGTGTTCTAAAATCTTTTATATAAGCATAGTAATGCCCACCACTAGAACTACCACTATGAATCATAATTGAAAATAATTCATAATTATAAGGTCCCTTTGCTGCATTACTATTACGATTTTTTTCGTTTTCATGATTATGCACAGTGCAATTCGATGTTGAAGGTCCATTACTCATGTCTATGCCTAAAAATAAACTATTTAAACAACTGTTAGCCCTAAAACACATACAATTTGAAAGATCAATATACCTTCATCAGCATCTTGGTCATGATTTGTTGAATGATTACTATTAGGAATACTATTTTCACAGGAAGGAGAGTCATCATCTAATGTACCCCTATCTGTTATCGAATTTTCGTCGGATTTTACTGAACCAATATTTTCATCACTGTTCGGACATTCTTGACTTGGCATAGTAGAAGTAATAAAGGGATTTAAATTTAATATATCTGGAAAAGTAACCCTAAAATTACAAGTTTAGTATGAAAACATAAAATGAATAAAAAATATTAACAATAATATCAATTCATATAGACTCACTTATTATTAAGTTTAATTCTGTGGTAGGTTTTGAAATCAAAATCAAATCGTTTAAGGTGAAGTGTCAAAAGATATGGGAATTTTGTGAATTTTAACCCTTTATGAGCATCACATTTTTTGTTACATTTTTCACAATGATACTGATTACTTCCTTCTAAAGTTTCATACTGAACAAACGCTCTTAAGGCCTCTTCCTATTACAGATCAGTTTTTTTGAAGAATTTGAGTTGTAAATTAAAATGTATTATATAAACTTACCACGCTATTATATGCTACATTGCTAGCAAATGGTCTTACTGGTAATGGGATATCCAGAAAAGTATCTTCTCTGGTTTTTTCAGTACCACATTCAAGACATTTAACATAATCAATCATTTTTCCTAACAACATAAAAAGTAGATTACAAACACCTTTCCAATGTGCTTAAGTGATTTAGATATACATACCTTCATATAATCTATTTATTAAATCAGCTTGTTCTGTATTTTTAAATTTCAATTCTAAAGCATCAAACATGACTCTACAAAGTTCTTGAATATCATGTTGTTGCCAAGCTTCGGTGGAATCCCAACCAAAGCTTTTTGTTAATGCTGTAGTTTCCACTGCTGATTTTGTTGATGTCTATAAATATGAGAAAGTTATTCATATATTTTATTACAATTATATCACAAACTATATGAATATCTACAAACATAATTAGTACCTGTAAATTTAAAAATAATTTCTGCATTTGATATGGAATACTATTAGCTTCATCTTTTTCTGATCCATCTACATATTCCCAATTGTATAATGCATTTCGAAATTCAGGAGTCATATACAATGCCTGTAGTAAACTATTTAAGTAACATGTCATTGCTTGATTTACTAAACCGACATAACCTTAAAAAATATTACAAAATATTAATAATAATACCTGCACATCTTACTATGCAATATCTACTTATATTACAAATACTTATCACATACTTTCAGAATTAGGAAGACTTTCAAATTCAAAATTTTCTTCACTCCATGCTGGTGAATGATCAGGAGATGGTGGAGGATTATATGTAGACTGACCACATTCAATTTCCTTTTGTGTTATGAAATCTTTTGGAGCCACAACATAAAGTATGGGCTGATTTGAAGAGCAATGGTTAGAAGAAAAATCCACACCATATCCTTCCATTGTACAATCTTCCGTTTTAGGTATCTCAATCTAGTAACAATAAAATAACTTGAACTTTTACATGAACAAAATAATAAAGCACTGGTGAACAATTATATTAATAATAGAAAAGAAAAGGATATAATTACTAACCACTAATCCTGATGTTAGTAAATACAACCGAAAGGTGTCTGGTTGCATTGCACGGTGAACTTCAATGTAAATATGAACATTTTTACCAGTATCAGATCTATACAATAGAAAAGTCTCAGAGGGAGTTTTTTCACCAAATAGAATTTAATTTTACATTAAAATTATATAATTTAATATCATTTTAGCTTGCACAATATGAATTACTGCTTGTTTTCCAGAACAGAAACACATTACTTTTTAAAAACATATATTGAATCAAGCACTTTAATATTAACATAAAAATATTAAATACTCCTAGTAATGCAATTATATTCTGCTCATATTGTTTTAATATCATATCAATAATATTAATCAAATGACTATATTAGTAAATATTACCATAAAGGTATAGAAAACGAAAGGTAATCACTTTTAGTTAACAAATATAATATTTAGAGATAGTATTACAAACTGATCAGTAATTTTCAGACAAGTAAAATTGGCATTATGCCATACTAAAGGTAGAAAATGAGCAAGATCTACGCAACACAGTAAGATAGTACTCTGCACAGTATGACACAGTAAGGAAAGCCTATAGAGCCTCCAGTTATATTTAGAATGTCTAAACGAAGACTTGGAAAATGGCTCTCTTCTCCGAGATCAGAATTCCCCCTCTTTCTCTCTTTCTTTCTCACTCTATTAGCACTTCCCTATTCTACATTTTTTTGTATAACTGCCAAATAAATGAAAATGACTAATAGTAGACTTAAAAAGTTTAATAAAAACCCATATTTATCACCAATTTAATAATAAATAATTAAAGAAGTAAACTTGTTTAATTATTTTAAATAATT